TTAAAATCCCGTTTTTTCTTGATTTATTTTTACATGGGGAAACATTGTTTTCATTTACAGTAATTTAGATTTATAAGAATTATCTTGAAAATAGCTATTAGTGAGAAGTACTTGGTATATAGGAGTTTGAGTAGGCTCTTTTCTTGGGCTTCCTTTCCCAAAGAACGAAAATCCACTTGATATTTTATTTCTGCATAGTTTTGAATATATATATAAGGATACCTAGATATCTTTTTTCTTTGATATTGAGGTAAGTCATTATGAGTAGAACTGTAACAGTTTCCGTTTTCATGAACAAAACTCAAAATCGATACCCCTATTTAATGCTTACAATGAACTAACATTACTACTTGTTCTGAATGAAGAAAATGATCAGAACAAATGATATTATAGCAATGCTATGTCAACGAACTATAAGAAGCTATAATTTTAACGAAATGATAAAAAAATCTATTTTTTTTAGCATACATGGAACCATATCTCAGGAGGAATAAGTCACGATCATGAATACTTTTAGGTTTTTTCTTACTTCTACTAAAATCTACTTATACACGAAAGATAAAGTTAAAAGATTGGAAGCAACTGAGGAAGTTCTCTCATTAATGAGCATTAATTCAATAACTTACGTTTTGATTCAGCAGTAATTTTATTTCCATGTATAGTTGGAACTATTAAACTAAATTAATAACAATATATACATATAAAAAAATAAGTAAGCTTTAAAAATTACCTGAGAGTAATAAATAAGAAGGAATAAATTACCTTTGTATTCATAGCTTATATTTCAATGAAAGTAAATTAAAGAGGATACTCTTCTCTTTATATACAATATGCAGGAGCTATTTTACCATTTTTCGAAGATGCTGTATCATACGACTTAATCTTTCAGTAAATGAAAATTTAATATTGTTTTCATTACTATCTGATGTACTTAATTGTTTTATCAGAGAAATTAATCTTCATAGAAGAAGAAAAACGTCAGAAAATTTATATTTAATTGATATTTTGATAAAAGCAAAAAAAGAAATATTAGTGACATCACAATACAAATAATATCATGACTTCTGTCAATCATCAAATTCTACCGATTTAAAAAACAAATATTTGTACTTTTTATTATTACAGATGTGGCTCCAAAAACGCAGCGAAAGATGTTGGTTTACCGAAAGAATGGCAGTCATAGTCAAAAAATGGCTTTTGGGTTAGAAATAAACGTTGGAATCAAAAACGGATATGATTGTGTTTGTCAGTGATTATCTTATCTTTCTTTAAGCCCACACCTATATCCTCATTTATTGTGACCATTGATCTTTATCTACTCAAATGGCAGTTCAGGAAGATCTTTATAATGAGTTGAATTTGTTTAAAATATTTTATATTCAAGTATCATTTTGCTGGATCTTGTTCCCATAATATAATACTAACAATATAATGATGTTCGTACACTATTATTCTTTTTATTTTGTAGAACTCACATGTATTTTCGAAGAAAATAGTTAATGTAAGTTTTAAGTCAAGGTTTTGCGGTTCTCCCCATCCTGTAGGTCCTAGCAACCATATGGCGCGAACCTATGTGCTGTTGCATATTTTGTCATAGTAACAAGGCTCACATTACACACTGTTACAACCAATTAATTAGCTAATGAGGTACATTATGGTTTTGTTTAATATTTAATATTTGAAAAGATTAGTTTATTAATTGAAATACTATATTCAAAATACTTAATATTTTAAATACAAAATATAATATTGAATATTCACCATTTATTGTTTTTTTTTGATATTTTATATTTTTAATTCTGATGTTCAGTAATATTCAATATTTTGTTATTAAGTCATTATTGAAAGATGACCGATCACCATTGGCATATCACGTGATAAAAAATAGAGCTTAAGTTTTAGAGACGTCTATGACAATACAAATAACTTTTTATTGTTACGATGTTAAGTGACTGAAATAATTTGATGGATAAATAATTATAAATATGGATAGTTTGACACAGAACATTATAGAGCGCACGTATCTATTATCAAAATCATTACAATTCTGATTTATTGGCTTATTTGATATTATTTTAATAACTTATTTAAAAGTCTATGATCAAATTTGTTAATTTTGTAAGATTCAAAGTTTGTGAGTTTCATATTTGGGCCCCTCTTGGGGTCGTCCTTAGAAGTTTTTTTTGTTCTAGATCATCGTTAAACGAAGCATCACTATAGTAGAAACCAAAGACAGAAAACAATAGAAAAAGGATCTTAATTCGCAAGATAATACAATTTTAATATTAATTATATTAAAACATTATGCTTGGAAAGATGTTAAATGTTTTGTTGAATAAGTGATAAAAGTTGAACATTATAACGATACATGTCAGTAAATTAATTACCTTAGAACATTTATAAAATAATATCCTTGAGTTATTTCTCATAAGAGATGGTATTAAACCACTATATTGTAAACTAAGAATCGGAATAATTTACGTAATCGACGACCACATTTTCTACTTTTCATATTGAACTGAACGTTGAAATAATTAATTTGTAACTGATACACGATTTCGACGAATAATTTTAATTTTAGATGCGTGATATTTATTCCTCTGAAGTGATAAAATTAAAACAATAGTGTATTTTGTAATATGAAATAATAGCTTGAAAAAATATATAACTTTGACAATATCAGTTAAATGCTAACCGTTTCTAGGCTGGATCGAGTACGGTCGGGGGCTGGGTACAGCTCTCCGAATCTGAGTCGAACTTGAGTAAAAAACCCTGTCGGGTCGAGTTTGGATGTAAAAAATCGGATTCGTATTGTTCGATTTGAATGCTCAAAACCAAAGGTTAGGAATGGCACATTGATTCATTTATATTCAAATTCTATTATAGTTAAAAATAAAGCAGACAAACATTTGTATAGACATTCGAGCAGGCAACAATTAGTTTTTAAGATCCATATTCTCTTGTATTGCATGTTATAAAGAACTACCAGTACTCATCAACTATCTCGATCATTGTATTCATTTCATATTCTCACAACTGAAAAAAAAAATGATGAGCAAACATTAATTAAGTGAATTTTTCTATTGGTACATATTTTCATGTGAAAAAGTGAATGTTTTATTTGAATGTGCTCAACCTTATTTTCCTTCGCAAGTAACATTTACAAGGGAAAGAAGATGTTGTTAGTGATCTTTTCGCAACTGATGAAATCAATCAGCGAACTTATTACTGGCATTATATAGATTCAGGCGATCAATTGCATGCATATGCTATGCAACATTTTCCTTTTGCAACATCTGATTCTCTAGAATCAAAATATTTGTTCAACTTGATGTGTATGAAGCAATATTTTATAAATATACAGCAATATGGAAACATGGTGGTGGCATGTATGATTCATTCCCTGAACATTGGTATTATGATGAAACTTCTTATAACATTACAAATTATATGTAGTTTAGTTCAAAAATGATACATTCAAATAATAGTTCAAAAAACGAAGATCATTGGTATTCGGAAGAAACATGTTCTCTTGATACGAGATATGTGTATTCATGTGAAGAAATATTCTTTAAAAAGGAGACAGATATATTTCTTAGATATATTTTCGTTGACAGTCACGGATTTTTTAGTTTGAAAGTGGCTATAAATTATGAAATAATATCTATAGGAAACCCAAGTGGTAGATTATTTGCAGAAATTCCGAAGAATTGGATGAACAATTGTAAAGATCGTAATCTTACACTAGATCTTACATATCTGAGTGCAAAAGTTAAACTACGTGAAAGTGTAACAGTTAAAATTTGTCTAACTTCGCCGCCACATCGAATTGATGGAAATGTTACAATGGTTCTTCAATGGAAAGTAGATGAAACAATGTCGGAATGTCGAGATTATCTAAGATGGGAACCTAAACAATTGTATTTTAGTATTGATTACTTTCATCAGCATCAAACAATGGTTGTGACTCGAATGAAAGATGGTTCGAAGACCATTCTGAATCCTATTATAAATGGTGGTGGATATGATAAAGTTCCAATTTATTCTTATCGTCTTCTTTTTCAATAAATGTTCTTTTTTCAAGTATCATATAATAATAACAAATAACTCTTGATAAAACATAAATTACATTGATAAAATCAAACTACCCAATATAATGTATAATCGAAGTTATTAAATGAACAAATAACTACCTGCTACTTACAGAAAAGTGTGATAGAGAATTTTCTTTAAGACTAATAAATTTTTTTCAAGGATGTGAGTGTGGGTATAGGTGTAGATGAAGAATGATACTCATACCCCCACACTCACACCCACACCCACACTCACACCCACACCCACACTCACACCCACACCCACACCCACACCCACACCTTTCTAATATGCAAGAAGCCAGGATTTCTCAGTCATCGAAAGCGTCACGCTAGCTTCATAAGATTTTGGTTTCTCGGAAAAGAAAACCTGAGCAGAAGTAAGATTTAAGTGCTCACTTTCTAATAATGTTTTGTAGTGAGAGTGGAAATGGGTATTGAAGTCTCGCGAAAAGATAGGAATGTGTGATTATTTTCAAGGTTAGAGATGATCTCTAGGATGAAAAGTTTTTTCTTTCGAAGAATTTCGAGTTGGTGTAAGAGAGTCTGAGGTACTCAATTATCGATAAGTTTATCTAGACAATGTGTAAGTATCCTTGAGCAGGGCTAATTAAAATATACGGTTTCTGTGGGGTTTAGATTGTGGCCTGAAGCTGAGAAATTCATGTTTAATGGAAATCCGAAAGTTATTTGTTGGTGAATAATGCATTGTTCAAACTTGATGGGTTGAGTTGACGGCTTCTGAATTTGAATAGTATTTTGGATTTATTGAGATTGATTATGCGATGTGTTTTTTCCCTGTTGAAATAGTTCTGTTTTGTTTGATTATTTTTGTTCTGTTATTCAAGTAGTGTGTTCATAGTTTTCGGGATGTTATATTTCGTTTGTGGTTTTGGTAAATCGGGTTATTTCAATCTTGAAGGAGTAACAAATGATTGTTTATTGGATCAGTTCATTTATGTTTCCGTCTTGGTTTAGAATCGATTGTTTTATGAAGAAAAGTTGTATTGGAATGGCGTACTCGGTTTCCCGTTCCATTATCCAGATCCGAGAAAATGGTCGTAAACGGGATAGAAACGATATAAAGCGTCGGAAAACGGTGCCAATTTGAATCTGCTCGGAAAACGATGAAAATAGTGTGAAAATTGGTGACCGTTTCCTAGTGAAGAAAACGGTCCATAAAACGGGTTGACGGATTACGACGAAATACGGCAAAATTCAAAGTCTTACGGTGCAGTTTTACAAAGGACTCATGCTCTTGTTAAGATTTGACCCAAGCTTCTAACTCTTAATCGATTTCTTTATAAAAGATTAGTTTCCAAATGAAATTATATCTTGGAATTTTGATTTGAAACTTTGTTAACATAAAGGCCTAGTTAAGATTAGTTCATGTATAAAGTCTTATCATTCTTGAACAGTATGCCACTGGCGTAAGAGTCTCTTCGATTACCAATATTTCAGATTTTGTATATTTATGACAAAGCACATTTTAAAAAAATTGTGCTTTAAAGATGCAACCTTCAAAAAACAATAAAGAGTTATTTATGAACGAGTCATGACAAGAGCATCGTGTGGATAAAATGTCAAAGCAACATTTCACGATTTAATTTTATATGAAAACTAACGTCTTACAGAAAAATCTATCAAAATTAGAATCTTTAGCAAAATTTCAACAAAAGTATGAATTCTTTGGAGATATCTATGTACGATATGATTTTCCATTGATCGTCATCTTACTTTTGTTCTATTTATTGTATTTATTCTTATCACTGTTTATTATATGACCAAAGTGATAGGGCTTACAATACCCAAGAGTAATCTGAAAGTTTCGTCTTATCTAATCTCAAGATTTCAAAGTTTCATTTCCAATTCATATAAAATTAATTAGTAGTTCAACATAATGCTCGTGCTAGAAAGACTATTGAAAGATAATTTTTTTTTCTGATCAATTTTTATTTCTTTATTAATTAAATAATAAGGAGAATTCCAAAATCAATAATTATTAGATAAACTTATAGATTTTCAATGTCCATTAACTGATACAAATTGTCTTAATCGATGATCAGCCATTGTTTGAATAATGATCTTGTTTATCTAATCACTAGCTAAAAAAGGCAAAGCATATGTTACACTTTGAATAAGTCTTTTTTGTTATTCAATAATTCGAGATTTTGAGCTTTTGAATAAAATCTATGATCTTTTAAATGCTTATCATCAAATCTGTGACAGTTCATGATTTTAAGAATCGGTTCTTTGTTTTGAAGAACTCTCTGCATGAGTCAACTTACCAAGAACTAATCTATGTAAGAATTCGATCATTCCAATTATTATTACACCGTACAGATGCAGCTCATAAACCCCCTCCCATATTAGAAGCCCCTCGGGGCTTCTATTAGGTCTTGCAAACTTTGGCCGGATTTTGCTGGGAAAAATTGAAAATTTTGCTGGATAGATCCTTTAAAGGGGGCTTCTAATAGGGGGAGGGCTTCTAATATGGGAGGGGCTTCTATTACGGGGAGGGGTTTATCAAATTCAGAAAATTTTCATTTACATTATAAAAGATTTTTGCCATTTTACTAGCAATATTATATAAATATCGTCTACTCGACATTTCAATATTTTTTTCGCATTATGCTACTGTAAATATTTTCTATTGTTCTATTTCACATGGTTTCTTAATTCTAATTCACTATTAAATTGAGTTATTTTCAGTTTTTTTTTCATGATTTTAATACCTGTCTCAATTCTTAGT